AGAGTAACCCTTTTCATTTTGGATTATTTTTGAAAATGTGATGAACTGTTCTAATGCTTCATCTTTAGTACTTAAAAATAGAACCCAAGTATATCTAGAATAGTCATCTACCTAAGACAAATGCATATTGTTTTCCACCCAAGCTAGTAGTCCTAGTTGGCCCAAAAAGATCTACATGGATCAATTGTAATACTCTACTAGTTGATATGTCATTAATGGATTTAAAAGAAACACGCTTTTGTTTTCCTTTAGCACAAGCATCACAGATTTTATCATTATCAAATTTAAGCTTAGGCAACCCTCGAACTAAATCACCTTGAATTAGCCGTTGCAAAACACTCATACTAGCATGTCCTAGTCTCCTATGCCATAACCAACTATCATGTTCATCTTTAGCAACTAGGCATAAATTAGTCATATCAAAAGAATCTAAATGCACCATGTAAATGTTTCCTATTCTATGACCAACAAGCATAATCAAAGTAGATGCAATGTCAATCAATTTTGCAAACACTTAATTTAAAAATAAGACATTGTATCTTTTGTCAAATTCATCTAATCAGATTATGCTTTAATCCATTCACATACAAAACATTATGCAATGTTGATAATCGAGATTAAGAGCACATGCATAAAGTTTTTGAAAATGTTATGCATTAAAACTTTATAATATTTAAAAAAATATGCATAATCATTAAGAAAAATTTAAGGTCAAAATTTTGCAAAACCAAAGTTCTTGAAAAATCGATATCAATTGTTAAAGAGATATCAATTACATTTTAAAAACAATTTTGACCAAAAATTAATATGATGAACTAGAGTTTATAAAACATTACCAAAAATTATTATGTTCATCATACAATATTTTTCAACATACATGAGACAAAACATAATCATTTAGAATTATTTAACATTTAAAACCTCATGCATGCATAGAATAAATGAGCAACCAAATAAAATAATAAAAAAACATCAAGTTTAGAGGTTACCCATTCCTTTTTCATGTGTGGCTAGAGCATCTTGAATATCATCAACTTTATCACCATTGCTCCCACACACCTACAAGAGACATTTAAGTAGATTTTGGTATCCAAATTGCTTTGGATCCTTGAACATTAGTTTCAATGCCTCTTGTTCCTTTTGGAACCCATACTTGTCTAATTTTAAATCGTTTTCCTTTCTTTAAAGGACAAGTATGTTCCTTATGACCATGATAATGACAATGTGAACATATTGTCATTATTGAACTAGATGAATTAAAAATGATCTCTTTTTCTTTTGTTAAACATTCAAGCTTATCTTTTAAATTGAAATTTTCTTTTTCAATACTTTCAAATTTCATTTTTGAGAGTTCTAAATCCTTCTTCAAGATTTCATTTTGATTTTCAAAATCCATTTTCATTTCGTGAAGAAGTTTGTTTAATTTGAAAATTTCTTTTTCAAAGTTTTCAGATTTTATTTTTGAAAGCTCTAACTCATTTCTCAACATTTCATTTTGATTTTCCAAGTCTGTTTTAGCTTTCAAAAGAAGATATTTTTAGCAATAAATTTAGAAATCAATTTATTGTATTTGGAGTTCATGGTCCAAACTCCGAAAATAATTTTCATAAGCATCTTGTAACTCATTAAAAGTTTTGAATTTGATATATTTGAGTTAGAAGATACCTTTGGCTCTGTGAGAGCTAATAGAGACATCACTTTTATTGGTTCTTCTTCTTCCTTGTCTCTATAGATCTCCTCAAGCTTATCCCACATTTCCTTGGCACTTGAACAAGAAGAAACTTCTTTATATACTTAGGATCAATTGCACAACACAACATGTGCATAGCCTTTGAGTTTTGTTGAGCTTCCTTTCGTTCTTGAGTACTCCACTTCTTTACCCTCTTAGTAGGAGAGGAATATCCTTTCTTGATTATCATCCAAGCTTCCATATCGAATGCTTTGATGAATATCATCATACACCTCTTCCAATGACGATAATTTGTTCCATTGAAGTATGGAGGCACGTCAATTGGTCTGGATTCTTCCATGGAGAATGAACCGAAGTGGACGCCATCTTTATCGATTTAACTCTTCCGGATCAACTCAAGAGGCGATTAAACCTTCAAATGAGTTAGGCTCTAATACCAATTGTTGAGTTAATCGATCGACGAAATTAGCCAAGAGGGGATTGAATTGGCAATTAAAAATTCGGTGGAAGCTTTTGCAGAAAATTGAAAAGATTTGCACAGTGATTTAGAGTGGTTCGACTTTCTCAATCAAAGTCTACGTCCACTACCTTAGCTATCCACACTAAGGATTTTCCAACAAATTCACTAATTTTTTCTTTCTTTTGAGGCCAAAGAGATAACTTTACAATACCCTCAAGAATATACCCCAATTCTTGAGAACACTCTTTTCCCAAAGAGAAGATTACAAATTTGCAAACTTACAAGGAAAACCTCACAAGGTAAGATGTTTGCACAATTATAGAACAAGAAAAGAACACTCAAAGATAATTACAAATGAGCACAAATGGTGTTCTTGAAAGCAAAATGAATGTTGAAAGGAAAATTGGCTTGATTTGCACAAACTTGGTGTTTGATGCTTTCTCTCTTGTTTCTCTATAATTTCTTGTTGATCAAGGGCTTCAGAACTTGTTTAAATACACCTTGAATCACTTCTGAACGTTGGGGATAATTAATGAAGATAATATAGCCGTTTTATTGTGACAACAATTAATAAAACAACTTGGAGCGTGGGGGGAATCGGTTCCCCCTCATAGGGAATCGGTTCCCTAAGTGTAAAATTCAAATATTTCGACCGTTGAACAGGGGGGAATCGGTACCCCCTATGGGGGAATCGGTTCCCTCCGAGCATTCTGGAAATCTCGGAGCCAAACCATTCAGGGGGAATCGGTACCCCCTTGGGGGGGAATCGGTTCCCTCTGAGCAATCTGGAATTTTTGGCTTTGAAATGGTTCGAAATACTTTGAAAGATTATTTTTAAATTGTTTTAAGATTAAAACTTAATTTTACACTTAAGTAAGGATTAAAAATGATTTTTGAAATATTTTGAGTAATGTTTTGATATTCGAATAATTATATCGAATATACTTAGAAAATCATTTTGGAAAATCTTAAAATTCATTTAACTTAATTTGTTATATCGAAATATCAAAATGTTTTCAACATATACACTTTGTAGTTCTTCTTCTTCTGTCCAAAGTAACACATCTCGAGAGACAAGTGGGTCAAGTTCTTCCAATCGACCTTGAACATTTAAAAAATATGTTCTATTTCAGGTCAGTTTTTTTTATAATTTTAATTTATTTTTTATTTTTCACATTCTAACTATTTTATTTTATTTGTCTTTTTAGAATTTTGATGTTAATATAGCTACTTCAAGGACTGAAAAATCATATGTTGATTCCTATATTAATTTGCCTCTTGTTCCCAGTAATGAAGATGCTGAGTTTGACATTTTAGGGTAATGGAAATCACAAAATGCTTCTTATCTGGTACTCTCTCGCATGGCGAGAGATATATTGGTCATTCAAATTACTTCAGTTGCTTTTGAATCTTCCTTTAGCATGGGGGTCGTATTTCGAATAAGTTGAGGGCCATACTTTTACCTAAAAATGTTGAGATTTTTGTAATAACTCGAAATTGGTTGTATGGTTTTGAACCAGAAGAAAGGGATGAAAAGTATCTCACTGTAGCTTCTGATTCTTCCCTTTAAAGGTAAAATTTTGATTTGCTTTATTTTTCTTATGTTTAGTATCTTTTAAATTGTTTATTAATTATCTTTTTTTTTGTATTTTGTAGGGTGGTAGTGTTGTTACATTTACAACGATCATATTTGAATGAATTTTGCCTATTGATTCTTTATTGATTATTCCCTTTATGGTAATTTCTTCAATGTGTTTATTTCCTAATTTTCATGAATCCTTGAAATGATTTGTGTTTTAACTTTTCTAGACCATTATTGTAACTTTTGTAGGTTTGGTAAAGTTGTAAATGTTTGGCATTGTTGGCCATCGTATTCCCCTTGGCTTTACCATTGATTGGATTCGTATGAATGCTGCCTGGAATTGGTGTAAATGTTGTTTGGAATTCGTCTGAATGTTGATTCTGTATCCGTTGAATGCTGATTAGTTTGGTCTAAATGATTACTTGCTGCTTGTTGGCTGACAGTGGTTGTTACCTTGTAAATTGTTTTTGTTTGTCTGATAGAACTGAACTGTTGTAAATTATCTTATAAGTTACCCATGGTTAAATTATGTTGGTGTTATTTTAGCTTTTAAAGATGATTCGAACTTGTTCATCAGATTCAACAAATATTTACTTACATTGTAGGTATTGGTTTGGTCTGTAATTCCAAAATTAAAGGGTTCATCAATGGTCACTACAAAAAAAACATCGTACGATTGATGATCATATTCCAATATCTCTAAGGCTATACCTTATCTATCCACTTCATCTAAAATTATCAAGACTACTAGAGTTGTGACCGCAACAGCATGGGCCGGAGCAGATTATAACTTGGTGCTCTATATGTAAGCTAGCCATGTATTTAATCCCTGCAATAAATCCCGGACCGAAATGTGTACAAACATGAGTTCTTCTCATGTATACATATCAAATTTTACTAACTTTTCTGGTTTTCAAGCAGGTTTTAGGGGCCGCCTGGTATCTATTATCGCTCGAACGACAAGAAGAATATTGGATGGAAGTTTGTAATCTCCCCCTCGTAGACTATCCATTCAAGTTTTTCGACTGCAGATCCGTTGGTGACCCTCCTAGATCTTCTTGGCTCAAATCAAGCAATATCTCAAGTCTATGTGATCCGAGCAACGACTTCTTTCAGTTTGGTATTTATGGCGATGCCTTACGTTCTGGAGTCACATCCGAAGGGTTCTTCAAGAAATTCTTCTACTGGCCTTTGGCGGGGTCTTAGAAATTTGAGGTAAAATTTTATAACATATATAGTTAAATTCTGTTTGCAATGAATTTTATGCAATGGTGTTACCAAACCTTGCAGTTCACTGGGGCAGGGTCTTTTTACAAGCACTTATGTTGTAGAAATAATTTTTGTCATCATTATTGCTATTCTTTGATTAGTTCTTTTTGCATTACTGATTGGAAATATACAGGTAAAATTCTATGACTTTTGATTTCCACTCTATTGTTATAGTTTTACCGGTTAATAATAATACCTGTTAATATTTAATAACATTCATTGAAAGTTGTAACTGTTAGTGGGTTTGAGTGAGTCTTTAGAAATTAGTTATTTAATTGGTAGTGGAGTTAGTGGCTTAGTTGTGATGATAGAGTCGTGGGTGGTTAATATGTTATGATGTAAAGCCTATTTATAGGCTTCTTTTCTTTTATCAATATGAAGAAATAGTGAACTTTCCTACACTACACGTTTCAAGTTTTTCCACTTTGTAGCAGTTCTTTTCTTGACTTTTCTCTACTTTATTTCCTTCAGTGGTATCAGAGCCAGGTTAAAAGCAAGAGAGAGAGTTTCCAAATAGCATTGATGGCTTCAGACTCAAATTTTGTACAGGTTGCGATCCCACGTTTTGATGGTCACTATGATCATTGGAGTATGGTAATGGAGAATTTTCTATGGTCCAAATAGTATTGGCCGATTGTTGAATCTGGAATTCAAGCAATAACACCTAATGCAGTCTTGACAGATGCCCAGAAAACAGAGTTGGAAGGGAGAAAACTCAAGGATTTGAAGGCAAAAAACTACCTCTTCCAGGAAATTGATCGTCCCATCTTGGAAACAATTCTTAGCAAAGAAACTTCCAAAGATATTTGGGATTCCATGAAGAAAAAATATGAAGGCTCTGCTAGAATGAAGCGTGCACAGCTTCAAACTTTGAGAAGAGATTTTGAGACTCTACAAATGAAGGATGGAGAATCTGTCACCAGCTACTGTGCCAGGACTATGGAGATTAGCAACAAAATGCGCTTTCATGGTGAGAAGATGGAAGATGTCACCATTGTTGAAAAGATATTGCGTTCCCTAACACCAAAGTTTGATTATATCGTATGTTCGATTGAAGAATCGAAAGACATAGATACATTTTCTCTTGGTGAATTGCAGAGCTCCTTACTGGTCCATGAATAGAAGATGAACCAAAGTTCAATTTCAGAGGAGCAAACTTTGAAGGCTTCCACCTTTACTCATTTCTCAAACTCAAGAGGAAGGGGTAAAGGTAGAGGTCGAAGAGGCAGAAACAACAATGAACGTGGGAACCAACAACAAAGTCATCATCAGGAGAGTAAATTTCAAAGAAGAGGCAGAGGATCTGGAGGCCACCACTCGACAACTTATCGATCAAAGTCAGCAGACAAGTCCAATGTTGAATGTTTCAGATGCCATAGGTATGGCCATTATAAATCAGAATGCCAAAGTGATTTGAATAAACAAAGTGGAGATAAAACTAATTTTGCAGAAAATGAAGAAGAGGTGTCTCTTTTGATGGTGTGTCATGTGAAAGAAGAAACTCAATAACAAATGTGGTTTTTAGACACTGGCTGCAGCAATCACATGTGTGGAGAGAAGGATTCATTTTCTGACTTGGATGAATCTTTTCGTAGCTCTGTTAAGTTTGGTGACAACTCCAGAATTTCTGTTATGGGAAAAGGAAAAGTAACAATTCAAACCAAAGGAAATTCCACTCACACTATAACTAATGTTTATTTTGTGCCAGATCTAAAGACCAACTTGCTTAGTGTGGGTCAGTTACAAGAAAAAGGATACGATATTGTTATCAAAGATGGAGTATGTCAAATTCAAGACACAAAGTTGGGGTTAATTGCTGAAGTTAACATGATGACGAATCGTTTGTTCCCACTATATCTCCACAATACAACTCATACGTGCTTCTCAGCAAAATTAAAAGATGAGGCGTGGCTATGGCACTTTCGCTATAGGCATCTGAATTTTGGCGGATTGAAAACACTACAACAAAAGAACATGGTGACAGGGCTTCCTCAAATTACAGTATCCTCTCAAGTTTGTGAAGAATGTGTTGTTAGCAAACAACACCACAATCAATTCCCACAAGGAAAATCTTGGAGAGCGAAGAAAGCATTGGAGCTTGTTCATTCCGACATTTGTGGGCTAATAACACCACATTCTAATGGAGGTAAAAGATATATAATTACTTTCATTGATGATTATAGTCGTAAGATATGGGTTTATTTTTTGCAAGAAAAATCTGAAGCATTTGTAGCTTTTAAAAGCTATAAAGCACTTGTTGAGAAAGAAGTTGGCTGCCCAATAAAAGTTCTTTGCACAGATCGTGGTGGAGAATATAACTCACATGAATTTGCAAATTTTTGTGAGAACCATAGAATCAAGAGACAACTTACAGCAGCCTATACACCCCAACAGAATAGTGTATGCGAGAGGAAGAACCGTACTATTATGAATATGGTGCGAAGCCTTTTGACAACAAGTGGCATTCCAAAAAGTTTCTGGCCTGAAGCAGTGAATTGGAGCATTCATATATTGAACATAAGTCCTACATTTGCTGTTCAAAATATGACACCAGAGGAAGCATGGAGCGGATGGAAACCTGCTGTAGATCATTTTCGGATTTTTGGGTGTATTGCCTGTGCCCATATTCCAGATGAGAAGAGGAAGAAACTAGATAATAAGGGAGAAAAATGCATTTTTCTTGGTGTTAGTGATAAGTCAAAAGCTTATAAACTATACAATCCTAGCACCATGAAAATTGTCATTAGCCGTGATGCGGTATTTGATGAAGAAGTCACTTGGTCATGGAATCAAAATGGTGTTAAAGAAAGTATTCCAGCAGATTTTGATGATGAAGAGAAAGGGCAGCAACCTATGGAGGATGGGCAAGAAGCGGAAGTCACTCAAAATATTCCAATAGCTGAACAAAGCCCACTTGCAGCTGAATCACAAAGGTCTCAAAGTGTTCGAAGAAGACCAGCATGGATGCATGATTATGAGGTAGCTGGAATTGATCAATCTGAAGACCCACTCACCCACTTTGCCTTGTTTTCAGATTGTGATCCTACTAGTTTTGAAGTGGTTGTCACAGAACCAAAATGGAGAAAGGCTATGGATGCTGAAATTGCAGCCATTGAAATAAATGATACATGTGAGCTATGTGATCTTCCAAATGGGCAGAAGACTATTGGCGTAAAGTGGGTATACAAGACAAAGCTGAAGGAGAATGGTGAGATTGACAAGCACAAGGCACGCTTGGTAGTTAAGGGTTACAAGCAGGAGTTTGGTGTTGATTATAAAGAAGTTTTTGCTCCGGTTGCAAGGCATGATACAATCAGGTTGGTGATTGCTATGGCAGCTCAAAACTCATGGCCTATCTTTCAGTTGGATGTGAAATCAGCCTTCCTCCATGGAGATTTGAAAGAAGAGGTATTTATCGATCAACCTCCTGGTTATGAAACAATTGGCAATGAGCATAAAGTGTATAAGTTAAAGAAATCTATATATGGATTAAAACAAGCTCCACGGGCTTGGTATAATCGTATAGAAACTTATTCTTTTGAAGGAAGGATTTCAAAAATGTCCTCATGAATATACAATTTTTATAAAAATTGAAGATGGATGGAAGATGTTCATTGTTTGCTTATATGTGGATGATCTAATCTATACTGGAAGTAATACAATCATGTTTGAAAGCTTTAAGAAATCCATGATGGCTGAATTTGAAATGTCTGATCTTGGCATGATGCATTATTTTCTTGGCATAGAAGTGTTGCAATCCTCTGCTGGCATTTTTATTTCTCAAAAGAAGTATGTGGGAGAAATCTTGGACAAGTTTCAGATGAAGGATTGTAATCCTGTGAATACACCATCTGAGTTTGGTTTGAAGCTAAACAAGGATGAGGGAGGAAACAAGGTTAACAGTACACTTTACAAGCAGATTGTGGGGAGCTTAATGTATTTGACTGCAACAAGGCCTGATATAATCCATGCTGTAAGTGTCATTAGTAGATACATGGAGTGTCCAAAAGATATTCATCTTTTGGCTGCAAAAAGAATTCTTAGGTACTTGCAAGGTACTAAGGAGTTTGGGCTATTCTTTAAAAAGGGAGAAAAGTCAGATTTGTTTGGCTTTACAGATAGTGATTATGCAGGAGATACTAATGATCGAAAAAGCACATCCGGGTATGTTTTCATGTTGGGAACAGGAGCTGTTTCATGGTCATCAAAGAAGCAGCCAATCGTCATATTGTCAACCACTGAAGCTGAATTTGTTGCAGCAACAGCTTGTGCTTGTCAAGCTATTTGGCTAAAGAAGATTCTTGAAGAACTGCAGTTCAAAGAAGATGGGCCTACTCTTATTTACTGTGATAACAATTCAGCAATAAAGCTCTCAAAGAATCCTGTTCTGCATGGTCGAAGCAAGCATATAGATGTGAAGTATCATTTCTTAAGGGATCTCACGAATGATGGAGTTATTAATTTGGTTTACTGTAGAAGTGAAGATCAGATTGCTGATATTCTAACAAAACCTCTTAAATTTCCAGCATTTCAAAAGCTCAGGGAGCTACTTGGAGTTTGTTCACGTACTTCTCTAAAGGAGAATTTTGCAGACGATTAATTCTTCCTTGTTAAACTGATATCTGCAGATTTCAGTTTAAGGGAGGGTGTTAATATTTAATAACATTCATTGAAAGTTGTAACTGTTAGTGGGTTTGAGTGAGTCTTTAGAAATTAGTTATTTAATTGGTAGTGGAGTTAGTGGCTTAGTTGTGATGATAGAGTCGTGGGTGGTTAATATATTATGATGTAAAGCCTATTTATAGGCTTATTTTCTTTTATCAATATGAAGAAATAGTGAACTTTCCTACACTACACGTTTCAAGTTTTTCCACTTTGTAGCAGTTCTTTTCTTGACTTTTCTCTACTTTATTTCCATTAATACCAGCCCATCATTTTCTTAGACGTATCTACAATCAACGACTGTTCGACTCGAAGAATGGTGGATTCGGAGGACCGATACCGAATAATGGATGCATCACAGACAACTTCCATATAAACTAAGGAAGAATGTTTCGACGATGTGATCAATACAGGTGGGTTGCGACAAGGGGCGTTGACGAGGAAGCGGTCCTAAAGAGTATGGTAGTCGGTATAAGAGACGAAAAGAGGATGGTGAGCTAAAGAGATGGGAGAGTATGGTAGTCGGTTCACCGGAGAAAATGGCAGAACTGATGATGGGTGTGCCGGTTCTGGCGGTGGCCGTGGAATTCGTCTCGTATTCATCAAAACTGGCAGCCAGCACCAGATCAAGAGTAGGAGTTCTAATGACATGGACATGTTAAGCTCATTGCAAAAACCAAATGAACCTGATTTTACACTTGAATAAATATAGTGACAATAAACATATCACCAAAAAAATCGTTTAAAAGGTGAAATTATGATTATTTTTATTAATTTATTTAATCGTACAAGTGATTAGGTTGAGGCATAATATTAATATTTAATAAATTTAAATTATATTAAATTGAAATACAAAGATTAAATTTTAGATAGAAACAAATTTCACCTAACGCAATTCTCAAAGTATCTTAGAATCTGATGAGCCAATGGCTGTTCAAAGGCCTAAGCTACTAAAATGCATCATACTTCTTTGGGGCTTAAGACCCATAATTATCCAATATCCTAAACTTAAACCTTATTTTCAATCAATCAGCATAAAATTAAAAAGTTCCATTTTCATCTTTAAAAGTAAATATACAGTTTTAGTACTTGGATTTCATCTCAATATCAAATGTCATGCTTAAGTTTTTTATGTTTCAATTGGGCAATTAAATTTGATTTTATGGTTTAATTTTATGTTTTTAAATTTTTTGTCTAATTAGATACCTATAAAACTTAACTAATTGATTTTTTTAAATAGTATAGGTTGATTAGAAGATAATATATGTTCATAATATTTTGGTTATTTAACAATGCGTATACATCTCGTAGACATAATTGTTCAAACTCGTGATCTCTAGAGAAAATAACCCTTCTTTTACTATTAAGGTGCGTAATGAGTTATTGACTATCGTATCTTGTATCAACATAATTGAATTGAACTAAATTTGATTGGTTTGCTTCATCTAGTTAGTTAACCA